TGGAAGAAGAGATCTACATGGAACAGCCAGAAGGATTAGGAGTCAAAGGGAAAGAACACATGGTGTACAAATTGAATAAGAGTCTATATGGATTAAAGTAGGCACCAAGGCAATGGTACAAGAAGTTCGACTCATTTATGAAGACTCAAGCATACAGGAGGACTCTTTCAGATCAATGTGTATACTTCAAAAGGTTTTCTGACAACAACTTTATTATTTTGTTGTTGTATATGGATGACATGTTGATTGTAAGACGTAACACAGAGCAAATAACCAGACTAAAGAAAGACCTATCCAAGACTTTTGATATGAAAGACTTGGGTCCTGCACAATAAATCTTGGGGATGAAGATTGTTCGAGACAGGAAGGAGAAAAAGCTGTGGTTATCTCAAGAGAATTATATTGAGCGTGTTCTAGAATACTTTAATATGAAGGATGCTAAACCAGTTAGCACCCTTCTTGCTGGTCACCTGAAGTTAAGCAAGAAGATGTGTCCTACAACAATAGAAGAAAAAGAGAAGATGGCCAAAGTTCCCTATTCTTCAGCAGTTGGGAGCTTGATGTATACCATGGTTTGTACTAGATCGGATATTACTCATATTGTTGGTATGGTTAGTCGGTTTCTTGACAACTCGAGAAAAGAACACTAGAAAGCTGTAAGTGTGATACTTAGATATCTGAAGGGTACGTCAAAGGCATGTCTATGTTTTGGAGGGACAGATACAGTCTTAGAAGGTTTTACAGACGCTGATATAGCAAGTGATCTTGATCACAGAAAATCTACTTCTGGGTTTGTATTTACATTTTCAAGGGGAGCTATATATGGCAATCAAAGTTGCAAAAGTGTGTCGCACTGTCAACAACTGAAGCCGAGTACATTGCTGCTACAGAAATAGGGAAGAAATGATTTGGTTAAAGAGATTTCTTCAAAAGATTGGTTTGCACCAAAATGAGTATGTAGTCTATTGTGATAATCAAAGTGCAATAGACTTAAGCAAAAACTCAATGTATCACTCTCGAACAAAGCATATTGATGTGTGGTACCATTAGATAAGAAGAAGGTGGAAGATAAGTCTCTTTCACTGAAAAAGATCTCCACTGATAAAAACCCTTCAGATATGATGACTAGGTGATTCCTCGTGACAAGTTCGAAATGCACAAGAAACTTGTCAGAATGAGTTCTACTTAAAAGCATGATAGTGATCTCCTCCTAGAAGCATGGGTCTAGAGGAGGAGACTTGTGGGGTCCATCCCAATTTGAAGTCTTTGCTAGTTGGCTGAATCAAATTAGCTGGCTCCTTTAACCAAAGAAGAACAGCCTCTTTCGTTTACCAGCTGCAAGACATCATCTTCTTTATTTTTTATTCTGTTCTCATTTGGCTGCAGCCTTATTTTGTTGACAAAAGAAGAAGAATTGCGGCACGGAAGCAGCTATCTTCTCCTATAAATAGAGGAGAAGATGGCCTCTTCTCAACACCAACGAAGAGAGGAAGAAGAGAGTCAAAAAGAGACTCTCAAGTTAGAGAGATGGTGAAAAATATTCTCTTGTGTAGAGGGTGAGGTTACTATAGTGAGTGTGATACAAAAGTGAGAATTCTTTTGTGAGTGGTATCTCGAGTTGGTAAAAAATACTTGAGGATCCTGTGTAAAATTCCTTCTTATAGTGGTGATATTTTTCTCCTCTTTTGTCCGTGGTTTTTCTCGATTTAGATTTTTCACGTAAATCTTGGTGTCTATATTTTACCTCCTTCTAAATTTACTGTGTGTGTATATTTTTTCTGTGGGAGTGCTGGCCCCAACAAGTGACATCAAAACACCTTGGATCCTAACAGGTTTGGGCTCTCATTTTTTTAAGGGTAGAGCACGGTTTCCTTTTTTAAAATGGTATCGTTTTCTAAAATATTGTCATGATAATATCTATCTCCCAAAACACAAAATATAATAATTTGTTCTCTAGTTATAATTAAAAATGATTAACAGGGTTACTACGCTAGCTTAATTTACCAGTAACATCTCTTAGCTTGTATTGTTCATACATTTCATAATTTAGTAAATGTTGTTTATAAAACAATAACCTTTAATGTCACAAAAAAATTTAATTAATTAAAAAATTCTAACTCCCAACTAATCTACAAAATAACAATTTTCATTGTTATAAAAGAAAAGAAAATTATAATTTTTATAAATTAATCTTCTTTCCAATCTACAAATGTATAACCCTACTATTAGTTTTATTTATTTTTTTCCAAAATCTAATCTAAACAAGCTTCTTTCAGTTGCTAGACGTGCTAAAACTCATTTTTTATTTTGTTTTTTCTTTTTCTCTTTCTTTTTTTCATCTTCTTGTGACAGTGAGCATATTTAATCTGCAAACTTATACTCGGTCATCATAGAGAGCGTGCATTTATAAAGTAGGGATAAGATTAATTTTATAAAGGCTGTTAATATTTTATATTTTTATAATGAAAGGTGTTATCTTTTAGATTGGTTGAAAGGTAAATTTTTTAATTAATTATAATTTTTTATTATAATAAAAGTTGTATTTTGTAGACAATATTTGTTAAATTATAAACCATGTGAACAATGTTGATTAAGAGGTAATATAGTACATTAGATGATTATATTAATTGGTTATAATCATTTGTTTAGTTATTTCTTTAGAATGATTGTAAATTTAGAAGATAAATTGTTATATTTTTATATTTTAGAGAGATAAATATTATCATAATAATATTTTAAAGACAAAATATATTTTACCTCTTCTTAATCCTAATTGGTTTTCTTAAGTTCAGAATGGGGGCTCGTGAAAATGAAAAATTCAAGGCAGCTGCTTTTATTTTCTTTCTTATTATTTTTTCACAACAAATCTAGTCTATTCCCACTCAGCTTTTCTTTAATTACTTGATGGACCCATTTTCTTTGGCCTCCCCGTTAACGACTATTTCCTTGTCCTTCGCTTCTTCCCCAGTCTTCGCTCCCCTTCTTTGTCTCTTTCTCCTCTTCTTTCTTAGCCTTGTTCCTCTCTTCTTCCTCTGCCTTCAACCTCTCTTTCTCTTCTTCCTCAGCCTTCAGCCTCGCTTGCTCCTTCGCTTCTTCCAGCGCTTTTACTAAACTCTGCAGACAAGTCTCCGGGTCCGCCTCCTCAGCCTTTGGCATCAAATTCTCAGCAACATCGGCAGGAGTCATCTCTGTCTCCTCCAACAACCTTCGAATGGTTTCATATAAATCGTGAGATTCAATGTCCAAGTAATTCCTTGCAAGAACCTTAAACGCCTCGAAGCAACAGTAGGACATTTCTATGTGCTTGTCCATGCGACCGCTCCGAATCAGAGCAGGGTCCAGCTTATCCAAGTGGTTGGTGGTGAACACTATCAATCTCTCGCCGCCACAAGCCGACCACAACCCATCTATGAAATTCAACAGTCCAGACAAAGTAACCTTGCTGTCCTTGCTATCATCCCCTTCCTTCATCTTCTTTGCAATTGTGTCCTCTTCCTCTTTCTTCTTATCCTTTTGTTGGGAACATCTCAAAATTTGAAGTTAAACAGCAGCAATTATAAATTAATCATAATGTGTAATCATAAAATTAATAAATAAGACACCTTTTCTTGCTTCTTCCTATGGCCTGTGAGATCGAGCGAGCAGTCGATATCCTCAATAACGATAATCGATTTACTGGATGTCTCGATCATTAGCTTCCTCAGCTCCGTATTGTCCTTCACCGCCGTCAATTCGAGATCGTAAACGTCGTAGTCGAGAAGATTAGCCATGGCCGCGATCATGGTGGATTTTCCGTACCGGGCGGGCCATAAAGCAGGTACCCTCTCTTCCAGGGCTTACCAATCTTGGCGTAATACTCTTTTCCCTTGCTGAATTTGAGGAGATCTTTGACGATCTCCTGCTTCTTCTTGGGCTCCATGGCCAGAGTCGAGAAAGTCGCTGGGTGTTCAAAAACACGTGGCTCCACATGGTGGACCTCCAAAACCCAACGTGCCTGTTGCAAATATTTAATCACTTTATTAATATATTACTTGCTTGAGGTGTATTATTTATTCCCAGTGATAAAAATGGCTACCAAATTCCCATTTGTCTCAACCATTCTAATGATCAGTTTTTAATTAACTCAAATTTTCACCCACTTCTATAATTTCGGTTGTCTATCTTTGTTCTCAGAGAGTACGCTGCACTTCTTTCTCCTACATGACATCTAATAGGATAGAATTTTATTAAAAGAAAGGGGTGAAAATTTTGGAAAAAATATGTTCGTTGAGCACTTTTATTAAGAATTCTGACTTTTAGGTAATCAAAATTTTATTAAATGTGATAATATAAATAACCTAAATTTTATTTTATCGCTTGATTGTATAACTATCATGTTGCTCTATTTCTTTAGTTAATAATAATATATATATATATATATAGGTTAGAATATAAAGTTTTTAATATATTTGTTACGAATTACAAATAAAAATTCATTTAATTTTTAAATCTTTTTAATAAAAGATATTTTTATTTTTGAACAATTTTATTTTTTTATTTTGTATTTTAATTTATAAATATAATTGAATTTTTATTTTATCAATGCATCCAAACATGCCCACGAAAATTTTCGTTTCTTCTATTTTCTTTTATAAAAAATTATTTTATTATTTCATACACATTATTGGATTTTTCTTTTTATTGAGAAAAAATGACTCCAAAAAAAGAGGAAAATAAAAAATGAAAAGGAAAAATTGGACAGTAGCCGGTGTGCTTAGCCTCCTTGGGATTGTGGAGACTCTCCGAAACAACAAACATTTCCCATTAGATAAAAATTAATGATTACGAGGTATTTAGAAAATGGGTTTCTGTTGATTTATATTCTTCTTTTTTATTTTTTTCAGTAAGAGAACTCTCGTTATTTTTTATATTATATTTATTTTCTTGCTAAAATAATTTCTTATTTTTTATATTTTTCTAATCAGTATGATTGCTAAACATTCCCCCACAAACAAATTTCAAGTTAACCTGGCAAAGGATTTTCTATTTCTAAAAACAGGATAGAAAATTTTACTATCAACAAGAAATCAAAACAGGCATGTGTTTATAAATTTAGTCCAAAAATACCTTTCTTTACTGTTGTTAGTATAGAGCTTCCTCTGCCTGTCCTTCACCGCAATGGCCTTCCCTTGCTCCATCACATGGCTGAGGTAAGTCCCCGTGATCATCTGCCGGTGCCTTTTGTGAAAAGTGAGCTTGTAATACCTCTTCTCGTCTTCACTGGGGAAATACGAGATCACTTGACTGTTAGGAAGGGCCTTTCTCCAAGCCCACCAAACCTTCACTCCATTAAAATTATCTGTAATCTCTTCATAATCGGCCATGCTCAGAACCAGCTTCTTAGAGTCGTCGACCATCTCGGCCTTGAGCCGCTTGGCCCTGTCAGCAGAATTGGAGCTCAGGTACCTTTCAATGGCGGAATAGACCTTGCTCCGCTGAAAGCCGAACTCAGTATATTCATGGAAGGTGATTTCGATGTAAGGGTAGACGAAGCTGACCAGCTTTTGACGTATTTTTCGAAATGGATTTGGAGTTCGAAGGGGAAGTATTGCTTGAACATGGCCCAGACGAACATGATCCCTGCCATGGCAGAGCCTAATTTAGTCAGCATCTCTGATCCTTCCTTGTTCATCATCATCTTCTTCTCTTCTCTTTTCTGTTTATGAAATATTGTAGTTATAAACAAAACCGCGGAGTTAAAGGTTTTTTATAGAGGGGAGGAGAAAGATGGAGTCAAGTGAAGTACTTCGCTAATGCAGTTTGCGTCAATGGGGTTTCTATTAGTAAACTATAAACTATATTTTACCCTTCGTTGTCTTTATTTTTTTATGATAAAAGTCCTTAATATTCCCAACAACCAATTAATGGCGTTTCCGTGGCCTGCAAGTTTGACTGAGGCCTATGGTCGCCGAGACTCGGAGAGGGACGTTCAGAATGGCTAAATAAATAGTCACCCAGCTGTTTGGAGATTCTCAATCTAGTCACCTAACTTTAAAACTTTTCAATTTAGTGAACTTACTAACTAATATGTCTTGGAGTATATTTAATAACGCCATCCAGTATATAAAATAAACATATTTAAACATTTCAAACTTAAATGCATTTGATTACGGTCAGTAATCAATCAATTAAATCTAAAAATTGATTGAAAGTGGATTTGTATCTAAACAAAACTTATTTTAGTAGTTAATTGAAACAAGATAATTTCATATTCATTATATATATTAAGCTTTTAAATTCAAAATATTCAACACTTAACTCTTTCGATACTCAAATCCAATGTATAAAATTGTTAACAAATATATTTTAATTTTGTCAAACACGTCCTCAAAATCATCACCCAACCCAACTCCAAGTAAATGTTGATTAAGTTACTAATCTGAAGTTCATGCCGTGACAATGTGGCAAATGAAAGAAAAGTCCTCCACTTGCTGGCAACTTGACCCCAACATTTAATCAGAGTTGGATTAAATTGAAAATTTTTAAAGTTGGATTGCCAAATTGAAAATCTTTAAATAGTAGTGGGAACTTGACATCATTGTTACGATATTACTGCGAAGGATGATGACATCATCCGATATTTTCGGAGTTTCCAGTACTAAAAATACATAACCAAGTCTATCCGAAAAGTATACTGTATGCATATAAATATTATATACATGGATTGATAGAGGCCGGTGCAATTTTTTCCAACCCGCGTCAATCTAAAATAAAATATATACATATAATAATAAGACGTGGCCATAATCCTGGTCGTTTGATTTTAGTTTTTACCAATACTCTTATGGTTTTATTCATTGTTTAGGTTTTGACAGATTGGGTATGATTTTATACATAACGATGAAATAGTACCCGTGATCTTATGAAATTGTGGAATTTTAAAAATAGAATATACAATATTTCACAATGAATATAAAAAAAAAAATCACAATTTTTTGACACAAGCAAATCAAATTCTTAATTTTGGAAAAGTGACATGGTTAGAAAAATTGACCATGAAGATTCAATATTTTTTTCCTCTTCAAGTAGAATGCAACAAGAAGTTACTAGAGTTAGGTGGGATTTCTAAATACTTTTAGAAAATTAGAAGTTGGAATTTAAAATAAAAGTGGATAAAAGTTAATTATAATTAGAAGTTAAATGTGTTTGTAAAATATGTTATAAAATTTTTAAAAAATAGTAAAATTGATATTTGAGATTTTTATAGTTTACTTTAGGGTAAGAAAAGATTTGAAAAAAAATTTGTGCAATAATTTTGAATATAAGAAAAAATTCAAATAATATCTAAAATTGTTTTTAGTTAATTATAGTAACGTCACTCACAGTGAGAAACACTCATCTTCCATACTTTTAAAAATTTACTTCTAATTCTAATTTTTCTTACTTAAATAATGCAAAATAGAATTTAAAAATAAATTTTCAAAAATCTTAGAAGTGATTGTGTGCATTGAAAAGTTCTAAATTAACTTTTGAAAATTTTTGCAAACACCACTTTATTGTTAACAATATGTTGTTCCACTTATCTTGTCTGAGAGGCACAAAACTTGATACATACATTTTTCCTACACATAAATAAGAAATGCACTTGAATTTGAGTCTTAAATATCATGTTATATATGTAAATGGTTAAATTTAGAAATTCAATAGATGATATTTTATTATTTTTTAATTTTTAAAAAATTATTTTACAATTTTATAATTTTTGTACATATTGTAATAAGAAAATTCATGATAAATTATATTTTTATACTTACATGAGGGGTCATATCATGAAGAATGGCAAACAATCCATAGTTTCGTCTTCCACAACACGCAAGTAAAGATTTTTGAAAATTTTTGCAAACACCACTTTATTGTTAACAATATGTTAGTATCTTGTCCGAATAGGCACAAAACTTAATACATACATTTTTCTTGCACATAAATAAAATATTAGAGAAATACACTTGAATTTTTGGATTAAATATCAAGAAATATATGTAAATAGTTAATTTAGAAATTCGATAGATGATATTAAATTATTTTTTAATTTTTTAATTTTTTTAAATTAATTTTATAATTTTTGTACATATTGCAATACAAAAAAAATTCACGACAGATTATATGTTTATACTTACATGAGGGGCCATATCATAGAAGAATAGCAAATAACCCATAGTTTCGTCTTCCACTATGTAAGTAAAGATTACTACATGTCTTGAGAGTGATTTACACGCTACATACTTGAATTTTATTTTATGATTGAGAATTGCTGGCAACGTCAATAAGTCAATGAAAATTTATTGTAACAGTTTTCAAAAGTCACCAAGAAGATTTCAAATTTTTTAAGATTAAAGAATTAATTATAAATAATAAGATAAAATATGAATACATCGGCACATTAGATATACCTGTTGATCTGCCAACCAAGGGGCCAAGACCAATTGGTTTTAGCAAATATATAAATAACATATTAACATGGGTATCTTGGTGAAGTTCAAGGATGTTTGGCTAATTGGCAAGCCGCAACTTTTTTACGTTAAAGCATTCAAAGGTGATGGAAAAGCAAGAAATACCCTTTTATTACAAGAAGCTTCGGCTCTCAAGTTTTTTTTTATCCTAATTGGCTTTCTTATGTTAAAAAAGAGTACAACATGGTGGCTCATGAAAATGAAAAATTCATAGCAGCTGTAATTACATAAACCAGGCGTGGCATTTGTTTTTCTCTTCTTATCTTTTCAAATCAAATTTCATCTATTCCTCCTGCTACGCTGCTCTTTCCTTTAATTACTTGATGGACCCATTTTCTCTAGCCTCCCCATTAATGACCATTTCCTTGTCTTTCCCTCCTTCGCCACCTTTCTCTTCCTTCTTTGTCTCTGTCTCCTCCTTTTCTTTCTCAGCTTTAATTCTCTCTTCTTCCTCTGCCTTCAACCTCTCTTTCTCTTCCTCCTCGGCTTTCGACCTTGCTTGTTCTTTCGCTTCCTCGAGCGCTTTTATTAGATTCTGCAGACAAAGTCTCCTCGTCCTCCTTCTCGGACTTTGGCATCAAGTTCTCCACAACATCGGCCAGAGTCATCTTTGTCTCCTCCAACAACCTCCGAATGGTTTCATATAAAGCATGGGATTCAATGTCCAAAAAATTCTGGGCAAGAATCTTAAACGCGTCGAAGCAACAATACGATAATTCTATGTGCTTATCCATGCAACCTCTCCGAATCAGAGCAGGGTCAAGCTGTTCAACGTGGTTGGTGGTGAACACTATTAATCTGTCGCCGCCACAAGCCGACCATAATCCGTCTATGAAATTCAACAACCCAGACAGACTGGCCTTGCTCTCCTTGCTTTCACCCCTTTCCTTCATCTTCTTCGCAATTGGGTCCTCCTCCTCTATCTTCTCCTCATCCTTCTGTTGTGGAAGTTTCAAAATTCAAAATTAAACAGCAGCAATAATAAGTTAATAATTAGATTTAATTAAATAATTTATAAATGCAACACCTTTTCTTTCTTCTTCCTCTGGCCTGTTAGATCGAGCTATCACTAACCCCAACTCCGATTAAATAAAATGGGTTAAATTGCCTGACCAAATTGAAGTTTTTAAAAGTTGACTGGTCAAACTGAGAATTCTCAAATAGTTGGGCAATTTTGAAATTTAGCTTTCGGAAGTGAGGCGGGCATAATTTGACATTTCGTGTTTTAAATATAAATGTTTAAAAAAAAATCGATTAGACAGGCGTCACGATCATTACATCATGATGGGAGAAGATCCGCGGGGCAACGTCAGATCAGACCTGTTTTCGCAATATCTAGCAGTAAGCAACAAATATACAACTTAATAATATAATATTATATTACATAATATATAAAATATAAAGGCATGTGCATAGATCCAACGGGGGTGGATATAAATTGACCTGCAGATGGCATTATGGTTGGTTGAAAAGAAAGGAAAAAAAATTCGTCACCACCTAAAAGGGGTGTAATTACTTTTAACGCGTGTGTTGAAAAGAAAGGAGATAAGAATATTTTTATTAAAGATTTGTAAAAATATAGAAAACTTAGGAATAGTTGATACGACTTTTAGACATGGTATTTAAATATTTTTGTAAAATTAAAAATTAAAATTTAAAATAAAAATAAATAAAAGTGGATTAAAAGTAGATGTTGTAAAATTTATTAAAAAGTGAAAAAAATTAGTTTGTGTTTGGATGTAATTGTGTAATTTTAGATTTAATTTTGAAGAAAATTAATTTTTTAGATTTTTATATAAAAGGCATGGATGAGTTTACATTAAAAAAATTCTGAGGATAAAAGATTCAAAAAGTATTTTTTATTTAATTATAACAATACTACTCAAAAGCATCGTCCTTCTATTTTTAGAATCAACTTAATAAAAATTTGATTTTGCTATTTTTTTTTAAAATAGGTTTTTTATTTGATTACTCCCAAAAAATTTATTTGTAAGTATAAAAATTAAAAATGTATTTTGACATTTTTTCTCTTTACAATATGCCACATTTTAAAATAAGAATATAAAATTTGTAAGATAAAAATTCAAAACAAAAAGAAATAAGAAAAGTAGATTCTCAAAGTTGAATTTTTCAAATAAAATTTCTGGAATATTTAGTTTTTTTTAATCTTGAATCCAGTAATTAATTTAAGAATTAAAATTTAAAAATCCAAAAAGTTAAATTTTTTGAGAAAAATAAGTAATTTTTTAATTTTTTTCAATGCAATGGACATTTTAATTTTATATAACAAGAATCTTCTGTAATCTTTATGAAATATATTTAAAAAT